TGGCGGCGCGCCAAACCCAGCCTCACTGACACATCTCTTCATTCGGAATACCCTAATGCTTTCTACAGTCTTGTACTGTTCTTCTATTCACTGGTGAATTGCTCAGCACTGTAAATCCTATTTCTATCCCAAATCCCCGAATGTTTATCGTGGAATGTGTTTTTAAGTGTGAGTGGATGGTCGTTGAGATGGGTCATGACTATCGTTACTCTTTTGGACTTTATAGCAGAAATGCTGCAAGGCTATGCTAAGGGAAATTCTGTAACCCCTGGCTGTTGTGGCAAGTTGTGAAGGGAGAAGGTATCTCAGAAATTATGAAAAAGAACCCACGGAGAATTTTATAATGTAGGCTGAATCCTTCAGACCCAACCAATTTTTGTCGCTAGTTCAACGAAAAGTACTACAGTAAATGGGGCCACTTTGTTTTAATCATATTCATAGCCTCTTATTGTCTAGTCATCTCGTCCTCCTGGAGCTATTTAAGACAGCTTGCCCTTGTTTTTCGTCATCATGCTTCATTTCATGTCTATGCCAAGTGGTTTTTAGAAGTTCCGGACGCACTCCGTGCCTCACGCATGGTTTGGCGTGGTTAGGCCGCGTTCGCTGCTGAGGGAGGGCAAAATGATGACGTGGGTGGGGGAATTTTGCCGTTTAGAGCTCTGCTTCAATATGACTAACTTCGTTAACCTACCTTTAGTAGATGGGAAAGTGCGGCAGAAGTGAAGCCCCATTCATACATGACGACTTTGAAGAAATAAAACTGCGGATAGAAGAAAGCATACGTATCGATCTGAAGAATCGCGGAGCTGGGATAAATGCTGAATCTGCGGAAATGTCAAAAAGGCAAACATGGACTTAACAGTATTTCCGCGAACGTGTTTTTTTCAAATCGATACCTATATTTTCTTTCTTTTCTACAGACTTTACATTTCTCCCGATTGCGCGGTTCTTCGAATCGATACGCATACTTTCTTCTATCCGCCGTTTTGTTATATCTTCATAGTTGCCATGTAAGAGTGGGGCCTAAGTGGATTAAAG